ACAGCCCTTAGCCTTTCAGCTAGAATGTGTGTGGAGTCTCCTGCAATTAAGACATCATCAAAGTAGGGGCAAACCCCCGGTATACCCCGTAGTGTGTTTTCCATTACGCTTTGGAAAATCCCAGGAGCGACATTCACTCCAAACTGTAGCCTTTTTACCTTAAAGGCTCCCCTGTGGGTCACAATAGTCTGAGCTATAGCAGCAGCATCATCAACAGGCAGCTGTTGATACGCTTGAGCTAGGTCAAGCTTTGCAAAAACGCGCCCCCCCTTGAGGGAGGCCAGAATATGACTGACCACAGGAACAGGATAGGCATGTTGCTGCAATGCCTTATTAAGAGTGCATTTGTAATCAGCACAAATGCGAATGTCCCCATTTGCCTTTAGAGGCGTGACAATGGGGTCTCCCAAGGACTGGAATCAACAGGTTCTAGAATTCCCTGTTGGATCAGTTTGTCTAACTCAGTGTCAATTTTACTCTTTAAAGCAAAAGGGACCCTTCTTGCTTTAATTCTAATGGGAGTGACAGTGGGGTCTAGCTTTAAGGACACAGGGGGTCCTTTGAATGTGCCCAGCTGGGGGCTGAAAACATCTGCAAATTCTTTGCAGACTTCCTGTAGGTCGAGTGTTTGTAAGCTGTTGAGTCCTGTGACATGTATCCCCAGGGCCTCAAACCAATCGAGTCCTATGAGACTCGTTCGTTCACCCCCTACTACTAATAAGTCTAGTGGACCTTCAAAACTCTTGTATTGCACGTTAAGGGTGGCCTCCCCCTTAACACACACTCTTGAATTTTGAAAATCTGTTAACACAATGTCAGAAGGCCTTAACTTGGCCTGAGTTCCACTACCGGAACAAATCTTCCTAAATGTATGCAAGGAGATGATTGAAAGGGCAGACCCTGTGTCTAGTTCCATAGTTAATGGAACCCCTTGTAGCTTCACCTTGAGTGACAGCTTTTTCTTAATGGGCTTGTGTGTGCCTGTCCTGAAGATGCTTCTTCGCGAAGCGCAAAAACCTACCCTATTCTGGCTGGGAACCCCGGTACCTTTCAGGCGCAGTTCTTCCTGAGGTTGTACCTTTCGTCGGCCCAGACACACAGCTGCAATGTGTCCTTGTTTGCCGCATGCCCGGCAGGTAGCGGAGCGGAACTTGCAGTCGGTTCTCCTGTGGCGACCTCCACAGCCGATGCACTTGAGTGGAGCTGAAGAGCTTCCCTTCTGCTTTCCTTCCTTCGTGGGGTGGAGACGGTCGACTTCCTCGTCCAGATCCTCCTCGGAGTTTCCTTGGACGTCTTCCTGGTGCACGGATGCAATTTCTGGACTGTTTCTGATCGGCCGCATGTTCTTGACGGCGCCGCCTGCTGCTTCTTCTGCGGTGACCTCTCTTAAGGCATCTTGGAAGGACAGTTCTTCTTTGGCGAAAACCCTCTGTTGTAGATCTCGATGCCTTAAGCCGCACACGAATCGGTCCCTCAGTCGTTCTTCGAGGTCCTTGAACTCGCAGTGCTTGGCGGCCTTCCTTAATGCGGCGATGTATTCTTTGGCCGACTCTCCGGATCGTTGATCCCTCTGCTCGAAGGTATGGCGCCATGCGATGACGGACATCTTAGGCTGGAAGTGCTCCTTCAGTAGCTTCTTTAGATCTGCGTAGCTAACAGACTCTACTGGAACTGGTGCTGCAAGGTTTTCTGCGATTTCGAAGGCGTCTTGACTGCAAACACAAAGCAGGGTGGCAGCCTTCAAGCTCTCTTCTCCCACTTGGTTTGTCTTGAAGTAGTTCTCCACCCTGGCTACGTAGGACTCCCACCGCTCTGGATGTGAGACGTCGAACTCCGAAAGCCTTCCAACCTTTGCCATCTTCAGGAGACGGGTCTATCAGCCAGCCTACCCCCGAATGCGCACTGGATTGGCGAGTAGCTGCCGAGTCAACGCCGTTCCGCCGCTCAGGACTCACTTGGGTAAGCTTACACTTCTTCCTTTCCAGGCGATGTAAGGCAATCCCACCTTCGTCGCCAGTGTTGAGTCCTTGGCAAAAAGCAGACACGAGAAGCAGTTGTAGTTCTCAGTTTTCTTTATTCTGTGTTCAGCTCACAAGTAGATGGCTTCAGCAGCTCCCAAAACCTCCCAGCTTCTTATATAGACATTTCCCGGGTCAATGCGATACTTTTCCCGCGCCAGCACCCGCGCATGCGCACGGTGCTGGCGACAGCCTGTCTGGTCCTGGGCAGCTTTGCACCTGCCCGGGACCGCCTGCAAATGCCCCGAGCCGTTTGCAAGGCTCGGGACATAACAATTACTATTGTATTATTATGGTGGTTTGTCAAGGCAGGGTTAAAATAAACATGACTGCAATGAGAAACATTCAGTCTTTAGCAGAGACTGGAAATCTAACATATGAAGGCCAAATATGAAAGTACTGCATTGAAAAGCTGGATAGCGGTCCTTAACAACCCTGTGTCTAAAGTGCTTATCTGTTCTATCTTTCGTTTCAGAATTTTAGCATTAGAATCTGAAAAGGACACAAAATATTATCTTCTCCCATGCCTGGGCAGAAGCACCTTTGGAAGTACTTCTCATTCCTTGCTTGAATGAGGAAGGATCTGCTTCCTTTCATCTGGGCAGAGAAATCTTTTAACAGAAGAGATCCAGATGAATCTATTCTTTAATCTTTCTTTTTTTATTCTCCTTGGGGGTGAAGCATCTTCCATAATTCATATGTTCCCCTTGTCCCCTCTTTGCTTCTCCAGATGCTTCTGGGCGAACAAAAGCTTGCCAAGTGCTACCAGTCACTTGCAGCTTGTGGGTTAGTTGCTGCTGCTGCTTAACAACTGAATCTTGAAAACTGCACTGTCTGTACAACATAAGCAAAACTGGAAGTGAGAAGGCAAATATGCTGCAGCAAAGTCTTGGCCTGCCACAAGTTTCCTAAACTTTCAGTTCTCCCAAGGGGAGAACAAGTGGCACAATTGTGCTAATCATAAGAAGAAACTTCCTGACAGTTAGAACAATTAACCAGTGGAACAACCTGCCTCCAGAAGTGGTGATGCTCCAACACTGGAAGTTTTTAAGAAGAGACTGGACAGCTATTTGTCCGAAATGGTATAGGGTTTCCTGCCTGAGCAGGGGGTCAGACTCCAAGGTCCCTACCAACTTTACTATTATTATTATAATATAATATTTTCATTATTTTTGCATTGAAAATTTTTGTATTGAGGTTGATATGAACAGGTTGTTTCTGGTAATATTTAATGTGTCTTCTCCAGTTGTGTACTGTATCTGCTGTTCAAAACAAGTTATTTGTGTGATCTCATCTCATCCTGTAGAGTATTTTGTACTAAACTTCCTGCTTTGTCAATCTCAGGTAGCATTTCTGGGTTACTTATTCAAAATATATTAGGAGGAGGACTATAGTGGCAAAAAACCGAGAAGCATTAGTTTATTAAATATTTGTTAGTCAGAAGATGTGCTGAAAAGACACAAAATAACACTTGCATCATCTCCTGCTCTTCAAAAATAATACAAAAATTAATAGCAATTCTTACCAGAGAGAAAGACTGCAATTTGTGGGAAAGATAGATGTAGCTTTTTCTTCTTCTTCCCTTCAGTACTTATGGCTCAAATGAAAAAAGCCTTTTTCTTTCTGAGTTATATTGAGCAATTAGCATATCTATGTGTTTGCATGATTTTCATTTGGGCTGTGGCTGATTTAAAAATACAGGTAGTCCTCAAACTATGACCACAATTTCCATTGCTAAGCAAAACAGTTGTTAAGTGAGTTGAGCCCATTTTACAACCTTTTTGTCATAGTTGTTAAGTGCATCACTGCAGCTGTTAAGTGAATCATAAGATTGTTAAGTGAATTTGGATTGCCCATTGATTTTGCTTTTGGAAGCCAGCTATGGCCTCTGGACGGTGCATCTGGAAAAATACATGCCAGTTTCAAGCACCCAAATTTTGATCACATTATGGGGATGCTACAATAAGTGTAAAAACTGGTCATAAATCATTTTTTCAGTGCCATTGTATTTTTTAATGGTTGTAAATTAAGAACTACCTGTATTAGATATCCCCCTTACCCTGTGCTGAACCCTGAATTTTACATAGAAAAATGCCATGAGATATTTTGCAAATGTTTTGACTCTCCACAAGCTCAGAGAACGAACTTTCACCTTCATCCTACACCCGAGCTGCAGATATTTGCCACTATTGTTTTGACTCTCCTAGCAATCCCCAGCAAGGAGTTGGCTCAGTCTAATTTCAGTCTACATTTTTTACATTTTCAGTTCACAAACACTATTTTGGATTAAGAAGCAAAACAGAAACTCTTGAATATCATGATTAGTATTTAGTTCCTGATTCTGCCCTTTTCCAGCTCAATATATGTTCTCACATAATAAATGATCAAATCTTCTTTGTCCATTCCGTCTGGATTATCACATTTTTTACACATATTAGACAATTACACTATTATGATGAAAAGGAAAAAAAAACACCACTTGTCTCCCTATGCAAAGCATCCTATCATTTCAACAAATGGAATAAAGGGCCAATCGTATGTATTTGGGAGGCAAACAGAAAGAGCCACCTATAAAAGTGTGTGGGATGGTCAGGATTCTGGCTGTGATTGTGTGATTGAAGTCCCGCCCTCTTTGTGTTACCTCCCAAAAGGAAGAGGAGAGTTTCAATCCACCAGTTACAAATACCATATTGACTTTTCTGATCCCTCCCCCCTACTTTTGGACTCTATATATGAGATAACCAAGTAGTTATATTCATCTTTATTTTGCTTATACAGATAATATTTTTCAACTGACTGGATATTAGTTATAATAAGTGCAGAATAATTAGTATTGACAGCATAGCTATGGGAATAAACTATTACTGAAGTTATCATTATAACTTATATATGTTTAGCTAAGGACAAATGCTCTGGATTGAATCACAGTTTGAAAGCAGACATTTTTCTTTTTCCATTTTTTCTTTCTACCACCTGAGCATTTCAGAAAGAAAACTGGTCCTGCTCATTCTGATGGCTTGTCTCTTTATTTCCAGAATTCTTTTTCAAAAGTTTGCTCAAATGGCCAAGTCTGAAAGAAAGAAAAAAAAAAGAAGGAAGGAGAGAAAGAAAGAAAGAGATTATTAATGTTATTTTAGTCATTAACTAGTCTTCACTGTTAATTTGCTATATAAATGTGTTGGGCTTTTCAGTGTTCTAAACATAATCTAAATACACCTCAAAAGTTTTTGTCCAACAGCTTGAACATTTAAGCTCAATTAATGTTTAAATTAATGATGCATTTCCTACCCTTTGCTAATTTCTTCCTCCTTTGTAGCTTTCAGAGCCCCTCCAAATATAGCCATTTATTTGTATTTTTTAATATGACAGGAGGGGAAAAATGATTAAATATGGGGGAGTGATTATATGATAGCCAAAGCTACCTTTACATTTAGCTGATGAAATTAGAAATATATCTGTTGTGCCAATAATTGTGAAGTCATTCTTGTTGTTGGGCATTGGAATAACATTTAAAACCTGCAGCTACTGACTGAGATGACAATTTCATCAAGCATACTTTAAACTATTCACCTATTTTTGATCTGGTCACAATCCTGGGTGCCTTGAATCAAACTGAAAAGAATGGATCTCCCAAATTTCTCTGGTAGGTTGGCCAGCGAACGCAAGAAACTTTGAACTGAAGGAGTTTTTTCATAACTGTCTGAGAAATATCTAAAAGCCCTTCCGAACCTGAGGGGCAGATTGGCTGCAGGTTTGATATTTCTTCTTTCCAGGAAGTTCCGGCCAAATCTCAGTGGCAAATTAACCATTGAACTTGGCACTACCTTCCCAGCAGGTCCACTCATCTTAACTATGTTCTTCAGTTCCCAATCTTTCAGTTCTTCAAGATTGACACTTCTCTGTTTTTCTTCTATAAGGTCTTCATTAGACTGGAAGGGAAAAAAAATAACATGATTTAATGTCATTAAAAATATAGCACAGAAACCAGACTAGCATAAGTGGCATGGAAAAGTGCACCCAACTCCCTGAAGGGTTGCAAATGATCTTTGGCACCAATGCTTTGAGGAGATATGCGGAGGAAGAAAGGATTTGTGCCATTTGATAAAATCTAATGCAAAAGCAAGTAGAATAGTTTCACTACACTGAAATTAGTGCTGTACTGTTGCAGTGTGAAAGGATGACTTTCATGTGATTTTGATTAGACCTTGGGTGAAGTCTTGTACAATTAGTTGCGCAAGGAAAAGAATTCCTCTAAATTTTGGGAGAAAGGACTTGTATTTTCCCAATCAATATGTAAAATGAAATGCAGTTTAATCATTGCTCTTCTGAACGACAAAAACATTCCCACAGAAATGTGCATAGAACAGAAAAGCAGTCAATAGGAGGGAGCACCAAGAGTTATTATTACTATTACTATTACTTTAGGCAGGCAAGGAGATAAATATAATAAATAGATCTAATAGAGGTAGAAAACCTGTGGGAGAAACAAAAACCAGGTCTATTTAGAAATGATTCCTGCTTTCCAAAAGTGGAATTTAATGAAAAGTTCATTTTATTTTTTTATTGTTATTGTTTAATAACAATATTTAGTCAAATAAAAATATTTGACTAAAATCAACATGGATGGCAGTAAAATTCTAGTCCTTCACTCTCAAATGAATTTGCCCCAGGATATATGTAAAGTCCTGTAATTTCTTTGGTTCCTTTGTTAATAGATGGAGTGTCCTTGACTTACAATATTTCTGTTAGATCATAAAGGATCTCCTCCTAAAGCCTATACATTGTAGGGCTGTGATCCAAGCAACCTTTATACCCTAGTTCATGAAGCAATGTAGAGCTTTGCTTCTGAGAGAGAAACAAGCACATTATTTCACTTTGCTGTGATTTGGATGCTCTCTTGGCTACTTCCACAGACCTCATGCTATGAGACAAGCTGAGGAGACTTCTTCAATGATCCCTGCACCGACAGCCAGGAGGAATGTTCTCTGTTGGACAATGGTGTCTGGCTTATGCTAAAGGTTGTCCAAGCTAGGTACCTGCCACTCACATTGTGAGCAATCCTAAAATACCACAGCACTTTGGCCAGCATTGTGAGAGAAGGCTGAAAGTGATTGGATGCCTCTCAAATTGTTTTTTTGAAGTACCTTCTCTTCAGCCAAAAAAACCTCCAATCTTATTGCTTCCATGGCCCACAATGTTTCACTGAGGTGAATTTTGTTGCTTTTCATAAGCCAGAAGAATTTCAAAAACAGTTAGAGAGGCTGCAGAATGGATCAAGAGAACCAAAACCAGCAGCCTGTACTACAGCAGAGGAATTAACAAGGCTAAAACAGGAGGAAAACCAAAGCCCCCATTTCAAGAGAAAGAAAACTTCCAGCAAATTAGGAACAGATTTTATACATTAATCGTAATAATGATAATTCAATATTCATGGAAAAAATAATGCCAGTTAAGATCTTACCTCAGAAGAGTTTTTCTCACTGTTTTCTTCTCTACTCCGCAAACTGGTCATTAATGATTCATTGTGGCAAATGGTTTTTGAAGCTAAAAGCAGACATGTAGCTAAACTAACTATGATCGCTCTGTTCATTTCTCTTAAATTGAACTTACATAAGAGATAAACATCTCAACACATAAAAAGTAGCATCATTTTATACCAAGAGACAACAACAGAATCTTTTATCATGACGTCAATATCACATACTTTAATTTTAATATCAAAAGAAAGTGTTAATTATATATGGCAATAATGCAGAGAATTTGTTTTGATAACTTCTGTAAACAAAAGAGCTTATTTAAAAAATGCAGATGACTTTCCAAAAATTTTCTTGCCTGTTAATTAGGGTTACTAATATTGACCAATTAGGTTTAATTACATTTTAAACAAAAGTCTCTTATTATATTGTTTGTATCAGGCTTAGTCATTAGTACCTAGAAACAAAATGTCAGTGTCTAGGTCATAATTAAATTCTGAAGTGTAACACTGCCCAAAATGTCAATGTATTTTCAGCATAAATATGTAATTATAGAAATTAACTGTCAAGGAAGAGTTCCAGGTGACCATAGGGACAAATGCTTACCGTCATAGTTCCTCTGACATTTCTGAAATCTCTTCATCATCAGTTAAACAGTACTCATAATCTCTTACAGAACTTTTACTTTCCAGAGCCCTGTCAAATATAATTTCAATAGATGAGAATATAGTAGTAGAAGAGAACATAATATTTTTCTTAGTGTCCATCCTTCATTGACATTGCTTGCCTAAAATATGTGAGTTTCAACTTGCTGATCAAGTGAGCAATCAGTTTTCATCTGATTTCAGAATGATTGATATGTTTATTTGACTGTGCACAGTATTCTAAACAGCATAATCAAATCCAAAATCTGAAGATGACAAAACTATTCTTTCTCAAAGTCAAGGTTCCATAGCCACATGTTATTGCTAGATACATTAGTGAAAGAATACAGACAAATTATGAACAACTCACTCCTACTGGTGCATGCTGACCTTCTTTATTTATCAACATGAAGATTCAAATCCAGGAAATCCCCCATTGACCTTTGCATGACATCTGCCCAACAACTTTAATATCAATTCCCAATGGAAAGCCAAATGGGTCGCTGAATGTCCAGTCATTGGAAGACATATAAATGATCTCAAAAAAGATGCCAGGCTTTGCACTACCATGTCAGCAATGGACCATCCTGAATAGGATTCGCACCTCATGGCGCCTACCAGAATTCTCTGAATAAATGGGGTGTGGTATCCTCCCCTCAGAGTAACTGAGGGATCCCATGTCAAACTTTAGATCACATTGTGACCAGCTGTAAGCTGAGGGCATATACTGGTCCAGTATCAGATTTTTTAAAATATAAATAAAACTGCGCTTCAGTGGTTAGATGGCCTAGACTTTGGTATTTGAACATAGATCTTTTTAATGTTTATATTTTATTGTGTTCTATTAATCTAGATGAAATGTTAATATATATTGCTGGTCCATGTATGATATGCTATACATTAAATAAATAAATTTTTGCTGGGAACACCGTTAATTAACTATTTTGATCTTTGTTGTTAATTTATTTTGAGTTAATTTATTAATGGGCTCTTTTATATCTTCTTTAGTTTCAGCTAGTAAAAGAATATCATTTCAAGCAGAACTTGAAATTTTATTATTTTGACTGCCATTTCTAGTTTCAGCTTTATTAGAGGCTATACAGTATATAACACTATTTTATTCAAAGTACAATATATGTAAAATGTTACTATAGTGGTAGAAAACTTTGTTTAATGTCAACCCTATCATAGTACAATGTCCAATGCAAGTTCAATTGGAATGATCAGGTTCACACAGGCATCAGACAAGCTGCAGTAGTCTTAGATTTTTGCAGACAGCTGCTTTGATATTGGATGATATAGAAATAGGATCAGGGTAATGAAAAGAGCATCTTCATCTCCTAAGTGAGTCAGCTGGTAGACTGTAAATCATTTGGTACCGGTAGAAGCAGAAGTTTTAATACTTTCTGTTACATTTCCTATAATAATATAATGATAAATCCTTATTTATTATTAACAACACACCATGCAAAAATGCATTCTATGGCTCATGTCACTGATAAGTATCAAAAGATTTCCATACAGATGAATAATTCATGGCATATTCATTTTGCCCAGCATATAATAACCTATTTTATGGCTCATTTTGAAATAGCATGATTTAAAAATGCATACACTTTTTTAGTTGAGAAATTGCCCAGTGATTTTTTAAAAAACATTTTGTGACTTATACAGCATTCTGGCTGAATTCTGAGATAGTCTAAAAATGCTATATATAAAATGGCCTTTTCCAATTTGGATTTCCCCAACCGGGTTTTTCCAGATAAATTGATCTACAACTCCCAGAATTTCTAGTGAGTTTAGCAGGAAACTCTGAGAATTGAATTTCCAATACTGCTAATAAAAACTAGATTCACAAGTCTGTGATAACAATTCATGCAGTGTGTAATCTGTTTGTTTCCCACCCAGGGAATGTCAACCTCATAGAGCTCAGTTTCAACCCGAAAGGGAACTTTTGCTAGAGAAGCTTAGTAATTATATTCACATTATCAGGGTTCATGCAAATCCCCTGTCAGAATTTGTAGTTGAGTATTACTACTACTACGCCGCCGCCGCCGATGATGATGTACATAATAATATGAAATCACAACTGCCAGGTCTTTAGTTAGTCTTTGCCTTCATTTATCAAGAGCTCTTCCCAAAAAATTAGGATGTTGTATAACCCAAACAATGTGGCCTTTTACAATTGATAAATGGAAATTTTGTCAATGTGCAGATTTTCTAAGTGCTGTCCAAGATTTTTTGGTATTACTGATAACCACTGGGGCCACCAATTTATGCCATAATCTTTCAAATTTGATTTTCAGATTTTGTATTTTGTAATCTTCTCCAATTCTTTGTCTTCTATTGGACTATGTCCTGCTATTGCCATATCATAATCCACACTTTTTTCTTTTCAAATACAGATAAATCTGATATGTTATGAGCCAAGACCTCAAGTTCAAAATTTCCTAGCCAGTAAGAAGTCCATACATTTTAAATTTGCAAAAGTTGAAAAATTGAATAAAGTTCTAAAGGATTGGAGCTGATGCATCACGGTTAGAATATATAAAAAGGTAGGTCAGAGGGGGTCATGAGGATAATTTTTATACTTGCCTTTGGTTTTGATTTGATCCCCAGACTTTAGTCACGAGAGACAACCTCTTTCACTGATCATCAACAACTCCTTTTGCTGCTTAGGAAATTGTACAAAAATAATTAAGTGCAGATCTACTGACAGTGCTTTTTCAATCTTCCTGTGTACCAATGATGCAGCTGTCTATTATATAAGTGGAGCTTCTAAGCCATTGCTGCCTATTGTAAAAAGAAAAGATAAATTACCCACAACTAAAATGGTCCTTTCCCTCAAACGGCATGTCATTTATTATTATTCTTGGAAAATCAATGAATTCAGACTGAATTCTAATTCCTTAGGTATGAAAGCTGAGTGGATGACTATAATCTATGAAAACTGTTTAACATATATAAGGGCAGAGTCAAAGACTAACACAAATTCTTTAAATAAGCTAAGGACTTTTTTTGGCATCTTTGACTAGTAATAAAATTGTTGAGAAAACTATAAATGTTCTCTGACATTTTAGTTATTTCAATATTAGTTTTCATTGAATTTTGGGAGTTTCTGAAAAAAGTATTATTTGAAAAATATTTGCAAATTAAAAGTATTCAAAATTTTTCTTGAGTGAGTAGATTGGATGGATAACTTGGGCTATATAACAGCAGGTCTGTGATCTAATTTTATAGTCATTCATTTTTGGATTACTGCATTTATCAATTTTCCCTATTAATTTTGCCCTGACCTTTGAGACTCATTGGGTTTTTTTACATCCTTGTCTTCTTTTGAATTATATATTAAGGCTTTGAAACTTGATCTATACTGCATGATTTTTTTATTGCAAACAAATTAATACAAATATAACATTCACACACAGACCATGTCTTTCTTCAGCAGGCATTTCATTGCCAGCAGACCAGACTTAGAGAAGTGATTAAAAATTTGGACTTTATGTAGTCCTCCACTTAGGACCACAATTGAGCCCAGAATTTCTATTGCTAAGTGAGACAGTTGTTAAGAGGTTTGGCCCATGGTATGATCCTTCTTGCTACAGTTGTTAATCACTGCAGTTGTGAAGTTAGTAACATAGTTGTTCAGTGAATCTGGCTTCCCCAATGACTTTCCTTGTCAGGAGAGTGCAAAAGGGGATCGCACAATCCCGCGACATTGCAACCGTCATAAATATGAGTCAATTGTTAAGCGTCTGAATTTTGATCATGTAATCATGAGGATGCTGCAGTGGTTGTAAGTATGAAAAAGACTCATGTCATTTTTTTCATTGTCGTAACTTTGAATGGTCACTGAATGAACTTCTTGTAAGTCGAGGACTACATGTATTAATATATATGTTACATTTCCAGTTTTCCCAATTATTAGGCAAACTGACTTATCTGTAAAACATAAAATTATACCAGAAAGAATTTGTGAAGTTTTGCTTTTCCTATTTTGTCTTTCTTTTTATATATAAAATAGCAAACTAAGTAAATAGTGGAGACAGAACTTAAACATTATAATGCTGTATATAATTATTTGTATTGCTATTATGTAGTAACTTCTGCTAAGTTTGGGGAAATTGATTTATGCAAAGAAGAATGCAAGAATGGATTTAGAGCATTGTGTCATTTGTAAGAATCTATCAATCTTTAATTTTTCCTCTAATGAAGTAAATATTTCAAATTATATATAAGAGTATTGTTTATTAAGCCATTTTTCTCCTGCGGGTGAACATAGTAGAAGCAATACAGAAATCAGAAAACCATCAGGGGTTGGCAATATTACAGCAAGAGATCAAAGACAATTATATGTTCTTTTAAAGAAGAAACTAATAATTTTAAATTAGACATTTTCTTCAATTATGCATTTGATTTTTGGCAATAAAATAACAGTGCCTGGTTTATAAATACAAACAATGTTTTTACTAAATGTTCTGAAAAGAACATTCATAATAGCTAATAAGATCAAGGGAGACTCTACAATCTACATTCAGAGATAATAGTAATGAAGGACATGAAATAAAAGAAATCTTCCATTAATTTATCTTTATAAAGACTTTCTAGAATGTTAAAAGAATATTAAACATTAACCAAAACGTTTTCAGTGTAAATGCGCTTTTTAAAAAGGTTTTCTATTTAGGTTAGCAGAGATATTAATTTTTTTGTTTGTTTTCTCTTACTTTTTAATGAAATTTTAATGTCTGTTTTTATTGTAGTTTTAATAATATAGACTAGTGTTTCTCAACTTTGGCAACTTTAAGATATGTGGACTTCAACTCGCAGAATTCCCCAGCCAGCTACAAACAGGTAGTCCTTGACTTACAAGAGTTCATTTAATGACCATTTGAAGTTACAATGGCACTGAAAAAAAGGACTTATGACTGTTTTTCACATGTAGGATCATTGCAGCATTCCCATGGATAGCTGGATATTTGTAGTGATCATTTTCATTCAGACTTTTGATGTTATTTCCATAGGGCGTCTTCAGCTGCTGGCCCCAGTTGCTCA